AGATAATCTGGGGATCAGATCCTGGCATATAGGGCAGTGTAGATCCAGCCTTACTCAACACTAATAGAGTCATATCAATACTACATCTAAAGAGGTCAAGTTAGGATTTCAAATGCTAGTCGATGCTCTCTTTTTACTAACAAACTCACCTTCGCTATCTATATCATCACTCAGGCGAAAAACATTGTCAACTAAAGGATCCGGTAGGAATGCCCAGTCTTCACTTTTCTCCACTGTATCTTCAGAAGTGTTTACATCAGAGCTGGATCTCGACTGGTCATCATAGCTGCTTGTCCTTTGGTATCTCAGCACCATTCTGGCCAATGCAGAACCAGCATCTAATGTGCGTGAATCCAATTAAAAAAACATTTTAGAAATACTAGAAATGTTATATTTACCGCCATTTCGTTCAGACAACCATATTTCATCTTATTAAACGTTTTACTAAATCTACTAGTTAAACATGCTCATATATGCAGCCCATTAATGAGAGCCAAAATACTTTACTTACTTAGATGATCCCTCATTGTCCGAGTAGGATTGTCTTCCAAGATTGGTGTACTGGCGGTGGGTCCGCAGGTGACTGTGGAGCCCTATTCTTGATCTGCATGTTCTCCCACAGTGAGGGCATTGGTTTCCAGGTGGAAGGTGGTCCCGGTTGGGGTTGGCTTGATGTGCCTTTCCCTTGGCATGTTTCTCTCTTTTGCCCTCCATTCGTGCCTCTTCAAACTCTACAGCACTGCTGGTCACAGCTGACCTCCAGCTGGAGCGCTCAAGGGCAAGGGCTTCCCAGTTCTCAGTGTCTATGCCAGAGTTTTTAAGGTTGGCTTTGAGCCCATCTTTAAATCTCATTCCGTTTTCCGTTCTTGAGTTTGGAACAGAGCAACTGCTTTGGGAGACAGTGGTCGGGCATCCGGACAATGTGGTCAGTCCAGCGGATTTGATGGCGGAGGACCGCTGTTTCAGTGCTGGTGGTTTTTGCTTTTTCCAGTATGCTGACATTTGTCTGCTTATCTTCCCAAAAGATTTGCAGGATTTTTCAGAGACAATGCTGATGGAATCGTTCTAGGAGTTGCATGTGATGTCTGCAGATAGTCCACATCTTGCAGGTGTATAAAAGGATTGGGAGGACAACGAGGAACCCACTCAATAATCATTGTATACCAGTGCATTCAAACTGAGAATCTATGATTATCCGCTTTGGAACAAGTCAGGATATTATTATATTGTCTTCAAAGTGTGGTTTAATATCCTAGATTGTTCTGAAGCTAGTATCTAGAATTTTCCATAGTAGATAACACTATGTAACACGATTTTTGTTCCTGGATGAAAAGTGTCATTTCATAATTGGTTCGGAATATAAACATGGAAAAAGTTTGTTAAACTTTAAAAACTTTGTTTTTGCTGTCTGCCCAAAAATGGCAGCCACAAAACCAAAGTTTCTGGAGTATAACAACTACTTTCACAGTAAGTACTGCACAATTAAACAAGAAATAACACTTTCAAACCAGGAAGAGAAAATGTTTCAAATTTTGTTACATACAAGAAACTGTGATTAATTGAAGATTTTCAAAAATGAAGCATGAAGGTGAGGAGTGGGGCAAAAAGAGGGACATCTAAATGTGCAGACAAAGGGTGTGTTTGTATTGTGGATAATAAAAAGCTGTCATATGATATTTCCAACAAAGCCAATATTGGGAACATGCAGAAATGTCAACATTAACAAAATAGTGAACCTGGAATGACTCATGGAACTAATGTCCTCCTATACATATATTAAAAAGCTAGCCATCCCCTGTCACGCATTGCTGTGGCCCAGCCTGGTGATCTGGAAAATCAAGTAATGAGAAAGTGTTGGTCTCTAATATATGTATTTTCTTTATGTTTGTGGGTAAACAGTATTTCTTGCTGCCTCTTTGTCAGTGTTGATGTGGAGATTGTCTGGTTTGCCTACTCTGGAACATGAAACATATTGTCCTTCTTCAGGGGTCCCTTTCAAATCTATGATACTATATCTGTGTATGTGTGAATCATATCTATCTATATCTATGGCTGGATGGTTGTTTGTTGGGAGGGCTTTGATTACGTTTTCTTGCCCTGGTGAAGAAAGTTGGTCTGGATGGCCTTGAGTATTTTCTGTTGGTCATGGGGGTTCTGTGTGGGAAGTCTGGCCCAATTCTGTTGTTGGTGGGGTTCAGAACGCTCTTTGAGTGTAGGTGATCTATAAATCCCAGTAACTACAACTCCCAAATGTCAAGGTCTATTTCCCCCAAACTTCATCTGTGTTCATATTAGGGCATATGGAATATTAGTAACCAACACTTTCTCGTTACTTTATTTTCTAGGTCACCAGACTGGGCCACAGCAATGCATGGCAGGAGATGGCTAGTGCAATATACAATCCAAATTATCTGCTTTGATAATCTGGATCAGGGGTCCTCAAACTTTTTAAATGGAGGGCCAGGTCACAGTCCCTCAAACTGTTGGAGGGCCGGATTATAATTTGAAAAAAAAAATGAATGAATTTCTATGCACACTGCACATATCTTATTTGTAGTGCAAAAACCACTTTAAAACAATGCAATAATTAAAATGAAGAACAATTTAAACAAATATAAATGTATTAGTATTTCAGTGGGAAGTGTGGGCCTGCTTTCAATAGAATAATAGAATCATAGAATCCTAGAGTTGGAAGAGACCTCATGGGCCATCCAGTCCAACCCCATTCTG